CAGTTTACAGTTTTAACAACTGACCCATATTCACTTTCCATGCAGTTCAAGTGGAATCTCAGTGGTTGAGCGAGACACACACCTGGTTTGAGGAAAGTGGGTCAGTAGGTCCCATAACGTCTGTCCACTGGAGAAAGAGCCCTGAAGACGAGAGCCGTCCGGCATCTGCAGTGCGATCCGCACCTGAACCAAACAACACACACAACATCAGACCATGTGTTATAAAAATATATCGATTTATCAGCATTACTGACCAGTTAGACTACGAATAAATACAATACAGGTCTTAAGTTTGGAATAATTCAGTTTTTTGAAAGGTCTCTTCTGCTCACCAAAGCTGATTTTATTTCATCATAAATACAGTAAAACAGTATAAAATTACAGTAAAAAATATTCCTCCAGTGTAAATCATCTGTTTTCTATGTGACTATACAGTAAAGTGTCATTTATTCCTGTGATTATCATCATTACTCCAGTCTTCAGTGTCACATGATCCTCCACAAATCACTCGAATATGAGGATCTGATGATCATTTATGATTATTATCAGTGTTTGTTTTTTTTTTAACTTACATTTTTTTTATTAATTCTTAACAGAGCAGTTACATGTATCAACAACAATTATCATGTTGCTAATGTACAATCTTGGAAAGAGAGAGAAAAAATAAATATATATATTTCAGCATTGCATTTAACATTTCTATGTGGTTTCAGCATCACCATACACACACAAAACAAAGAAAATAAATGGCCCTTTACTTGAATAAGACTTCTGCAGAAGTACAACGTAGACTAAAAACAGATTGCTGGAGTATTATTATCAGTGTTGAAAACAGATTCATATTTTTGTGGCGACGTTACAGTTATTTTGTGGAATATGCATTTTATTTTTCAGGATTCTCTGATAAATAGAAAGTTCAAAAGAACGTAGTTTATTTAAAATAGAATCTTTTATAACATTAATTGTTATAAAAGATCAATTTAATGAGTCCTTGATGATTAAAAGCCTCAATTAACTAAAAAAATATATATATATTTCTGATTGTTAGTATTTGTATTTTCAATCAAAGCTGAATGATCTGAATTCTATCAAAACCAATGTTTGGCTTTTGGAAGTTAGACCGCAAATTGTGTAAAACGTTTTGCACATTTATGGTAATCAGAAAGTCAACGAAACCACAATAATAAATCTTCAGCACAGAAAATCATTACAGCAAATAATGGAGCATTTACCACTGAAACCTCGTCGAGCTGATCCAAACGGGCTTAAACTCTTGAACGCATTTCAAAGAAAGTGTGGAAAATAATAACCCTGAAATCTCCTTTAGAGCCAGAATCATTTCATGAAAGCCTCCACTGATAGATAAACCCTGTAAAGCGTGCGTGTGTGTGTGTGTGTGTGTGTGTGTGTGCGATCTGAACCACAAACACACTTGGACACGCCGAGCATTTCTCCTCGCTCCACATGCCTGAAGCGTGAGGCAGAACGGCCGTCAAACGCTGGCGGGAAGACCCATTACCCATCATGCTTTACGACCGACCCGCTCATTAATCATCTTTCAATCAAACGAGAGTGTGATGTTCATTTTGCCTTTCATCCAAATGCTCAAACATTCGGCGCTATAAACACATTCCCATAAAACCAGCAGATGCGATCGGTGCTCGTGTGCCAAACATGTGTTTCATAAGTGTGTGTGTGTGATGATGTCATAACCTAACGAGCTCCTCGCACAATCCCAGCCTGACAGGAAGAAGGACACGTGTGTGTTTATGCATTTACACTCACTGTAATCAATACGAATGAATGATTCATGCTTATTTTTCTGATATGTTATAAGTGAGGATGTTCAATCCAGCTAAACTCATTTTCCTGAGCGTTGCACGGATGTTTACTGACAAACACGGCATGAACGTGCAAACGTATAATTACAGCGGAGAGTGGAAACGAAGTGCGTTCCCAGGAGGTTTTTATAAACTATATCAAAACTGCATGGAAAAATAGGTCATTTAAACACGGCAGATGTTTGTTCTAGCAAAAATATAAAACTACAACTACTATCAACATTCGTTCCAAACAAACTCTGAGGGACCGATTCATTTAGGCTCAATCTGCAACACTTTTATTTGATTTGTTTAACTAATTGTATTCAATTCACTGATTTAATATGTACAGCTATAAGTATTTAGCCTCAGATAAAATCATTGTAAAATAAAAAAAGTTGTGTCACATCGTGACATGTGATGTGTTGTGTAATTTATTATAATAAAATAAAATAATAAAACACAAGTCACACACACGCCGGCTGCACATACACACCCAGGTCACACACAGATTACACATACCGCGCTCTCGGCTCCTGCCGGCTGCCGTACACACACCACCACCTCCAGCTTGGCATTGTTCGGCAGACCAGCAAACCTCCACTGCAGAGTCAGATCTAGAACATTCCTCTGAAACCTGCAAATGAAGAGAGACAGTGAGCCGTCACACACACACACACACACACACTCAGACATATACAGGTTAAACTCACTTGAGTCCATGATCATCTGGATTAAAGCCGTGCTTCTTACACACATCCTCAAGAACCTGCAGAAATAAACATTTTAATATTAATTTATCTATGAACATTGAATGCATTATTTAATATTCATATTAAAGTGTTTAACTAAAATTAGGCAAGTACGCGTTTATCATCACTGACGTTTTGTTGTGTTTTGTTGTTGACTAATATATTAGTGTCGGGCTACTAGCTCAGCTCAACATCAATATTAAACCCCAAAACAAAGGCTGTTTAGGGCACTAGATAGGCAGCTCACTAGTCTGGAATGCGCTAAAACAGTGTCACGCACTTATGGTCCCCAAAATGTACACTAGATAGCAGCTCACTGCATCTTTGTTGGCCGAAACTACTGTCCTGTCACTAGGTAGGCAGCTGACTCAAAACGCAAGCATCTCAATAGGTGTCGAGCCAGTATAAACACACACAGTCTTCACGATCAGATTTGCGAGTGAGTGATATGTAAGTGAGTCCGTACCTGTAATAAAGGTGTGTTTGGAGACACTTTGACAGTTTGTCTTCTTCCATTCGGAGTTAAAACTGACACAGCTGAAACGCTCGCCGCCATGACACTCTGTGACGTCACGATGTTTGTTTGACAAAACTTTATGCGTTTCTCGCCCTTAACATGCGTCATTTGTCTGTCATTTGAACTCTAATGTTGATATTTTAGCCGCAGTTTGTGTTAAACTGCAGTTTGATGGACTGTTCGTGTTGACCACATCATTACTGACCCCAAATACCCTCAAAGCCTTTCCAAACATCTGCACTGTCCATCTCTCAGGAATCTGCGGGACGAGGCTGAAAACCACTGGATTCACAAAGTGTTTTCTTGATGAGCCACAAAAATTTAGAAGTTCCAACATGTGTTGTTTTGAACTGCTAAATCGTTGTAGTGAAAGTCTGAAAAATAAGAGAAATTTGGTTGGATGGATAGATAGATTATAAAAAAGAAATAATAGACAGTGTTTTAATAAGAGAAATTAGGATAGATAGATAGATAGATAGATAGATAGATAGATAGATAGATAGATAGATAGATAGATAGATAGATAGATAGATTATAAAAAAGAAATAATAGATAGAAAGAGACAGACAGTGTTTTTAAACTAAACATTTAAAATGTGCTAAATCGTTGTAGTGAAAGTCTGAAAAATAAGAGAAATTTGGTTGGATGGATGGATGGATGGATGGATGGATAGATAGATTATAAAAAAGAAATAATAGACAGTGTTTTAATAAGAGAAATTAGGATAGATAGATAGATAGATAGATAGATAGATAGATAGATAGATAGATAGATTATAAAAAAAGAAATAATAGATAGAAAGAGACAGACAGTGTTTTTAAACTAAACATTTAAAATGTGCTAAATCGTTGTAGTGAAAGTCTGAAAAATAAGAGAAATTAGGATGGATGGATGGATGGATGGATGGATGGATGGATGGATGGATGGATGGATGGATGGATGGATAGATATATAGATAGATTATAAAAAGAAATAATAGATAGAAAGAGACAGACAGTGTTTTAAACTAAACGTCAAAACTCTTAGCTTTTATCCCTCTTTCCTCGAAGTGTCTCTCTCTCTCTCTCTCTCTCTCTCTCTGATGACCCTGTTGCTTTGATGATCGGGATCTTTCCCTGGATCTCTTTGATGTGAGAGGTTCAAAAGGATCCAGATAAGTGAAGTGGAAACCAGTCTAATCAAACTCTGAGCGGAGGGACGGGTTCTTCTGGCCGTGGACAAACAAGAAGATCCAGTGAAATCTTCCTGTGTTTTCCATGAACAGCTACACAGACATCAACAGACAGACAGTGTGGAGTGTGTGGAGTGTGACGGCATGAATACACACATCTCTGAACTGAAGGCAGAACCTGAACCTCTGAAGTTCGTTTGGATCTTTCCAGCAGTGTCGTGTGTATCAGTAATCAGATTACTTTTTCAACTGAAGTAACTAGTAAAGTAATGCACAGGAGGAGTGTGTGTCAGGAGGTGTGCGTGTGTGTGTGTGTGTTAGAGAGTGTCATCAGTGACGGGTCCGAGCCGGAGCTCTGAGTGCCTGGCATCCCTTTGAAGCGCCGGGAATGAATTCCTCCCGTGTGTGTGTGTGTGTGTCAGTGAGGTTCTCCTCTGAACAAACAGCTCCATCTTATCCATCCAGACCATCAGCCAAGGAAATAAAACTCAAACTCTCTCCTCTCTTTGAAGTTTGTCTGACCTCTGACCTCTCTGAGCGAAGGCTGTGTGTGTTAGTGTGTGTGTCTGACCTCTTTAATGCAAAACAAATTTTCTTATTGTGTGTCTTACTTTACTTAGTTGATATGTCTTAGTTTATGTCAAAGTTAGTATACAAAAGATAAACATAATACTGCGAAATATAAAATCAAATAAGAGCATTATAAAGTCTTCACACACTGGAGATCAAAAGGACATGCATGTCACTGGGCCACGCCCCCTTTGACCAGCCCTCCCTCCTGATTGGCTGGCACGTCGGCTATAAAACCCCCTCATGACGGCCCGCAGACACTCGGTGATGTGAACAGGAGACGGCTGTTCTTTAGGAGCGGAGGATCCCGTGAGTGTTCATGACTCCCAGTGGATCTGCATGGAGATGATCCGAGCTGTGCTGGTTGTGCTGGTTCTGCTGGGGCCCGTGGAGGGCAGGAGGGCCCGGGGCCAGCGCACACACACACCGGAGAGCTTCCCTCTGGACTTCACGGCTGTGCAGGGAAACATGGAGAGTTTGATGACTCAGGTGAAGAGCTTGGCTCAGTCCCTGTACCCCTGCTCGACCCCGAGCCTGGACCCCGAGATGAAGCTTCGCTTCCTGAGGAACGCTTCGGTCTCCTGTAACGACGGCTCACCTGCGGGGTGAGTGACGGCTTCTTCTCATCTGTGTGTGTGTGGCACTGAAGGGTTGCAGGTTCAAACCTCACTGTCCATCACTGACGTGTTCTTAACTAATTACTAAGTAATTAGTTACTGTAATTTAATTACTTTTCCCTTGAAAATGTAAAGTAAGGGATTACTCTTCATTTATCTGTAATTTAATTACAGTTACTTCTGATGTAATTGAGATAAATACTGTGTATGGATCAGCGATTCGTTTGCATTTTATGAGGAATCTAAATATTACGACCGCACTCGTACAAATTCGTATGAATTATTGTAAAATATGTATTCATGAGATCAGACATAAAACAATAGTGGGTTTAACATCAAAATATATTGTCTGATGTTAAAGTATGTTTTTATAATGTAACCTTCTCCACCTTGGTCAGTTTAAGGATAATTCATGCAATTTTATAGTATTTATTTGAAAGAATTAAAACAGATTCATCATGTCTATCCTTGTATTATTCAGCTGGTTGAGATTGACATGGGATTTTGAAAGTAATTAGTAATTAAAAGTAATTAAATACTTTTTAAGGAGAGTAATTAGTACAGTAATCTAATTACACTGTTGAAGAGGTAATTAGTAACTAGTAATTCATTACTTTTTTAGAGTAACTTACCCAACACTGTTCTTCACACACGCTGACTCTCAGATCAATGCAGAAGATGATCTGAATGTGATTATATATATATATATATATACACACACACTGTCAAACCAAATTAATTCAGACAATTTTGCTATTTTATTTCACTAGTGTCTGTACGACACAATAGTTAATTTATGTGAGGAGAGCAGAATAAAGAAAACTGACATATTATACCTAAATATTCTTCATACAGCGACTATCAGTGACATTTATTAAAATATGGGACCAAAAATGATTCCTCCACTTTGAGCTGATCATGTTCTGCTGAAGTGTGTTTTCTGATATTCGTCATATTTTCTCTAAACTATAGTGAATACACTGTGATAATGTGAGAAATATTGAAGGTGTCTGAATAAATGTTGGTTTGACTGTGTGTGTGTGTGTGTGTGTGTATCTCGGATAATTAGGGTGAGATATTAATGCCTCACATGACATCCCCAGACAGAAGAGAGGAAGATCCGGGGATAATCGTTGCGGTTCGGTTCGTCTGGGAATCTTCGGGGAGGTTTGCGTAAAATAAGCGAATAACGGTGTGTGTGTGTCGCGCGCGCACGTCCATTGTTCTCGCGCACGCGCCGCAGGTGAGAAGAGTGACATCACGCGCATGCGTCGCTAAACCATAACTTCTATATGAACATTTATTTGGGCGGAAAAACTTTTTAAATTCTTAAAAATCAATATAAGTTTTATATATAAAAGAATCTTACCATGCCTTTTCAAATCTACTTCAGTTGCTTTACATTGTCTGCTTAAAATGCCCCAGTTATGCTAATTTAAAGGCTTCTAATGTAGTTTTGTCGTCTCCTACAACCGGTTCAAATGCATCGAAGGTCAAAAACACTTTAATTTTCTCATAAGAAACACATCAGCTCTTTTCTAACAGAGTCTGAAACGATTTGATAAAGGATTCGTCTCTCTAAACCCCGCCTCTCTGAGCACTGCTCTGCTCTGATTGGTCAGGTGGCCCAGTCTAGATGCGAATTTGTTATGTTGTTGTTCAAGTGAGACTGGAATTACTGAAGACTCGTTTCAGAATCGCTTCTTTCTTTTGGAAGGCGATAACACTTGCGGTTAAATAATCTGATCAAACACAGCAGCAGCACATTCATCTCACATGAGCTTGTTTGTCATTCTGTGATTCAGTTACTACATAAAGGAGTCCCGAGGCAGCAGGAGATGGCTGATGTTCCTGGAGGGTGAGTGAATTCGTTCATGTGTGTGTGTGTGTGTGTGTGTGTATGTTCTGTAACAGTGTTTGTGTTGTTCAGGTGGATGGTACTGCTTCAGCAAACAGACCTGTGACAGCAGATACGAGAACATGAGGCGATTCATGAGCTCCAGCAAATGGCCTTCGACCAGGACAGGTTAGTCACGCCCACCTGACCTCTCAACTTGACCTCTGACCTCTCAAAATGACCTCTGTCCTCTCACCTCTCAACCGGACCTCTGACCTAACAAAATGACCTCTCAACCTGACCTCTGACCTATCAAACTAACCTCTGTCCTCTCAACCTGACCTCTGACCTATCACCTCTCAATCTGACCTATCAAACTTACCTCTGTCCTCTCAACCTGACCTCTGAACCTAACCTCTGTCCTCTCACCTCTCTTGTGTGTGTGTGTGTGTGTGTTTCAGGAACAGGGATTCTGTCTCCTCAGCCGGAGGAAAATCCACACTGGTGGAACGCAAACAGAGTGTAAGATTACAGCCTTCATACAGAGATAATAATGTATTATATCTCCTGAACTGATGTAGCATTTTTAGATTTTTGTACGTTTACTTTTTTTGTAATGTAGGAGAAGTCAGATTTTATTTAATTGTGAGGGCAATACTCTCTCTCTCACACACACACACAGACACACACAGAGAGATAATCAGAGTAATAAGTGTGTGTGTGTGCAGGTTTGTGCCGTACTGCTCTAGTGACGTGTGGAGTGGATCATCACCAAAGACAGACCAGAGTAAAATACACAAACACGTCTGCATCATTTACATTCATCCGTGTGTGTGTGTGTGTGTGTGTGTGTGTGAGAGAGAGAGAGAGAATAACATGCTGTGCCTGTCTGTATTCAGGTGATTACGTGTTCATGGGTTCTCAGATCATTCAGGAGGTCATAAAGGATCTTGTGTCTGAAGGACTGGACCGCGCTAAAGTCCTGCTACTGGCCGGGAGCAGGTGAGGGACTACACACACACACACACACACACACACTCACTCACTCATAAAAGTGCATTTGTCCATCATAAAAGTGCATCTGTCCATCATAAAAGTGCATCTGTCCATCATAAAAGTGCATCTGTCCATCATAAAAGTGCATCTGTCCATCATAAAAGTGCATCTGTCCATCATAAAAGTGCATCTATCCGTCATAAAAGTGCATCTATCCATCATAAAAGTGCATCTGTCCATCATAAAAGTGCATCTGTCCATCATAAAAGTGCATCTATCCGTCATAAAAGTGCATCTATCCATCATAAAAGTGCATCTGTCCATCATAAAAGTGCATCTGTCCATCATAAAAGTGCATCTATCCATCATAAAAGTGCATCTGTCCATCATAAAAGTGCATCTATCCATCATAAAAGTGCATCTGTCCATCATAAAAGTGCATCTGTCCATCATAAAAGTGCATCTATCCATCATAAAAGTGCATCTGTCCATCATAAAAGTGCATCTGTCCATCATAAAAGTGCATCTGTCCATCATAAAAGTGCATCTATCCATCATAAAAGTGCATCTGTCCATCATAAAAGTGCATCTATCCATCATAAAAGTGCATCTATCCATCATAAAAGTGCATCTATCCATCATAAAAGTGCATCTGTCCATCATAAAAGTGCATCTGTCCATCATAAAAGTGCATCTATCCGTCATAAAAGTGCATCTGTCCATCATAAAAGTGCATCTGTCCATCATAAAAGTGCATCTATCCGTCATAAAAGTGCATCTGTCCATCATAAAAGTGCATCTATACATGATAAAAGTGCATCTATCCGTCATAAAAGTGCATCTGTCCATCATAAAAGTGCATCTGTCCATCATAAAAGTGCATCTATCCGTCATAAAAGTGCATCTGTCCATCATAAAAGTGCATCTGTCCATCATAAAAGTGCATCTATCCATCATAAAAGTGCATCTGTCCATCATAAAAGTGCATCTGTCCATCATAAAAGTGCATCTATCCGTCATAAAAGTGCATCTGTCCATCATAAAAGTGCATCTATCCATCATAAAAGTTCATCCATCCATCATAAAAGTTCATCTGTCCATCATAAAAGTGCATCTATCCGTCATAAAAGTGCATCTATCCATCATAAAAGTGCATCTGTCCATCATAAAAGTGCATCTGTCCATCATAAAAGTGCATCTATCCGTCATAAAAGTGCATCTATCCATCATAAAAGTGCATCTGTCCATCATAAAAGTGCATCTGTCCATCATAAAAGTGCATCTATCCATCATAAAAGTGCATCTGTCCATCATAAAAGTGCATCTATCCATCATAAAAGTGCATCTGTCCATCATAAAAGTGCATCTGTCCATCATAAAAGTGCATCTATCCATCATAAAAGTGCATCTGTCCATCATAAAAGTGCATCTGTCCATCATAAAAGTGCATCTGTCCATCATAAAAGTGCATCTGTCCATCATAAAAGTGCATCTGTCCATCATAAAAGTGCATCTGTCCATCATAAAAGTGCATCTGTCCATCATAAAAGTGCATCTATCCATCATAAAAGTGCATCTATCCATCATAAAAGTGCATCTGTCCATCATAAAAGTGCATCTGTCCATCATAAAAGTGCATCTATCCGTCATAAAAGTGCATCTGTCCATCATAAAAGTGCATCTGTCCATCATAAAAGTGCATCTATCCGTCATAAAAGTGCATCTGTCCATCATAAAAGTGCATCTATACATGATAAAAGTGCATCTATCCGTCATAAAAGTGCATCTGTCCATCATAAAAGTGCATCTGTCCATCATAAAAGTGCATCTATCCGTCATAAAAGTGCATCTGTCCATCATAAAAGTGCATCTGTCCATCATAAAAGTGCATCTATCCGTCATAAAAGTGCATCTGTCCATCATAAAAGTGCATCTGTCCATCATAAAAGTGCATCTATCCGTCATAAAAGTGCATCTGTCCATCATAAAAGTGCATCTGTCCATCATAAAAGTGCATCTATCCATCATAAAAGTGCATCTGTCCATCATAAAAGTGCATCTGTCCATCATAAAAGTGCATCTATCCGTCATAAAAGTGCATCTGTCCATCATAAAAGTGCATCTATCCATCATAAAAGTTCATCCATCCATCATAAAAGTTCATCCATCCATCATAAAAGTTCATCCATCCATCATAAAAGTGCATCTATCATCATAAAAGTGCATCTGTCCATCATAAGTGTTGATGTTTGTCCCTTTACCATAACTGCAGCATGAGTGTGTCCTGTGGTTCTCAGTGCCGGCGGGACGGGTGTGCTGCTGAACGTGGACCGCGTGGCGGAGCTGCTGGAGGGACTGGGTCTCGGGGCGGTGCGGGTCCGCGGGCTGGTGGACTCCGGCTGGTTCCTGGACCACAGCCCGGCCCGGGACAGCGACTGCAGCGACAGCATGAGCTGCGCACCGACACAAGCCATCCGGAGAGGAGTGCGGTGAGTGGACGCTACACACACACACACAACCCATCAGCTGGATTCATAATCTCATAATTACAATTTATTTTACATAATAATGATTTAGCATGTTATAATTATGATTTAGTTTGTTGTAATGTTGACTTTTTATATCAGTTATGATCTCATAATTACAATTTTTAATCTCACAATTGACTGTATTTCAATTGCAAATGTATCTCTTATTTTTTACTTATGTCATAACTGTTAATGATTTGTCATAATTTACTTTTTAGTCTGTCATTGACTAATGACTGTCATCCTTTTAACATTTTTATGTCAGTCGACTGTCCTAATTTCCATTGTTTATGACTGTCAAAATTGAGAAATTCGTCATTGACATAAAAAGTTAAAGATGACATACTGTTATAATTAAGTTTTGTCATAATTTACATTGTTACTTTAGACTGGATTTTTTAAATATTTGTAATCATCACTTAGTCGTAATTGACATAAAAAGTTAAAATGATGATACACTCATCTTTTAATTGACTCATAGTATTTCAAGTTTTTAAACTGAGACAAAAACTCATGATTGACTTTTTATGTCATAATTATTACTTAGAATGTTATATTTAGCTTATCATAAATTTGGCTCTCATAATTTTGAATTTAAAGTCTCATATCATTTAGTATGTTTTAATTAAGACAATTTAGTAATGTCATAATTTCATATTTTTTTAAATCTCATTATTAGTAATAGTGTTATAATTATGTGTGTGTGTAGGTTCTGGCACAGTGTGGTTCCCGAGCTCTGCAGTCGAGCACATCACGGGCAGGACTGGAACTGCTTCTTCGGCTATAAGGTCCATCCGACACTGAAGAGTACGTGAGTCCACACCGCCCTCTAGTGCCCGGAACAAACACACACCAGTGCTGAACAAGTGCTGTCTTTAAATATGCAAATGAGGCATCATCAAATTAAACATGCTCTAATTTACATACACTTCTCTCTCTCTCTCTGTCTGTGTCCTTGTCTCTCGCCCGCTCGCTCTCTCTCTCTCTGTGTGTGTCTGTGTCTCTCGCCCACTCTCTCTGTCTGTCTCTCTCGCCCCGCTATCTCTCTCTCTCTCTGTGTGTCCGAGTCTCTCGCCCACTCTCTCTGTCTGTCTCTCGGCCGCTATCTCTCTCTCTCTCTCTGTGTCCGAGTCTCTCGCCCACTCTCTCTCTTTGTGTGTCTGTATCTCACCATGCTTTCTCTCTCTCTTTCTGTGTCTCTCACCCGCTCTCTCTCTCTCTCTGTGTGTGTCTGTGTCTCTCGCCCACTCTCTCTGTCTGTCTCTCGGCCACTCTCTCGCCCCGCTATCTCTCTCTCTCTGTGTGTGTCTGTGTCTCTCGCCCACTCTCTCTCTCTGTGTCCGAGTCTCTCGCCCACTCTCTCTCTTTGTGTGTCTGTATCTCACCCTGCTTTCTCTCTCCCTTTCTGTGTCTCTCACCCGCTCTCTCTCTCTCTCTGTGTGTATGTGTCTCTTGCCCACTCTCTCTGTCTGTGTCTATGTCTCTCGCCCGCTCTCTCTCAGGCCCGGTGTTTGTGGTCCAGTGGCTGTTCGACGAGGCTCAGCTGATGGTGGATGATGTCCATCTGACGGGTCGGCCGGTCCAGGAGAACCAGTGGCGATACATCCAGAGCCTGGGCAGCGAACTCAGGAACACACTCAAAAACGTCCCGTAAGGATTCTCACACTTTCCAATAAGGATCATTACTGTGTTAACTCGCATGTGCAAAACCTCTGTCACAGTATTCATTAATCTGTGGTAATGTTAGTTAATAATCATTCAGCTGCTCACTGAGTGTTATTGTGAAGTGTCACTTCCTGTTTGAACCGGTCACACTGATCTCTGATTGGCTCGTGATTGTTTGATTGACAGGGCTCTGTTTGCTCCCGCCTGTTTGTCTCATGAGATCATCACCAGAAAGTGAGTAATTATGCAGATCATACAGTAATGAACAATACTACAGCATTTATTAATCCAGGCGTGACTCACCATATTGCGGCCTGCACTGTGTGTCGCTTCAGTGACTGGATGGACGTCCATGTGAAAGGTACCTCGCTTCCCCGAGCGCTTCAGTGCTGGGACCGCAGCCTCCGTAACCACGGCAACGGGAGCATCACGCAGGCTCCGCCCAGGGGCTGTCCCGCGCACTTGATCGACAGCTGTCCGTGGCCGCACTGTAACCCCTCGTGTCCCCGGGTCCGAGAGCACGCGACGGGGCAGGAGATGAGCGTCGTCCAGTTCCTCACACACCTGGGCTTCGACGTGACGCGCATGGCACATCAGCAGGGCATGGAGCCCGACACACTCCTGGGCATGCTCAGTGACGGCACCTGACACGCGGACGGCCAATCAGAGAGCCTCGTGACGTGTGCGCAATGCATTGGAGGACGTTTGTGATCAGTTAGCGTGTGCTTTTCTCCATTAAGAGGCGATATTTGCGTTTTGACCTTTATAAAGGCAGCTTTTCTAAACTTGGTAAATGTAAGGGGACGCATCCATATGTAGATTAATGGATACTGAAATATTGGGGAAAATTAAATTATACTTTAAATATGAAGGTAGGTTCGGTTGTAGGTTTCTTAATCAGTGAGTCATTGATTCATTCACTCAACTGATTCAGTCGGGAACATTCTTTATGAACGAGTCATTGAATCACTGACTCAACCGATTCGTTGAAAAACGCAAGATAATTCAGGAACAGTAATTTATTAATTATATACGTATCAATAATGAAAGAGGGCTAATGAGCGTAGATGATGTTTCATATGAAAGCCTTTTTACACCACATAAAAATATATAAAAACATTGGTAAATCATAGTTATGACATACTAACTGATAATTATGGCATACTAAATCGAAATTCTGACTTAAAAAGTTTCATAATTCTGAGAAAAATGATTTATTTTCTGAGAATTATGATTTACCAGAGCACAATTGTTTTCTTATGTGGTGTAAATGGGCTTCAGTAATTTTTAAAGATGTACTATTAAAGCAGACAGACGATCAACTGGGCTGCAGAATCTGAAGGTGTGTGTGTGTGTGTGTGTGTGTGATTAAACCATAACCTCCTCTCTTGATGACGATGATGAACACTCAGTTTCTCGCTTCAGCCCATCATAATGAAGCACTTCTTCTTTAACAACTTCACAAACGAAAACTGGGAATCTGGATACCAAAATCAACAGAAGGACAAACACACACACACACACACACGAGCATCTACTCCTCTATAAACTAAACTGACTGAGAGTCTCACAAAACCTGTCAAGAACATGTGCCTCAAATGTAAAAAAAAAAAAAAAAAAAAAACCGATAAGAAACCATTTTTTTGTGCAAAAAGCATCACAATAATAATAATAAAACACAATGGTCCTAAAAAAAATTAATCTTTTAAGTGCAAATAAAATGACTTCTATTTTTCTGTTATTTTGGGATGAATGTGTTCTTGACGTGTTTCCTGACATTCACCTTCTCCCGTTATATTGTGATTTGTAGAATATGTTCAAACGTAAGCTATATGGTTATTTATTTTATGTAAAACATATTTATGAGTGATTATGATGAAAGTGTTTTGTGTAAAGTGTACATACCTGTTGAATGATTTCATACAAAATATGAACAGTCATTATTGTGGCCAAATTTCTTTTTGTTGATATCTACTTTATCTACTAGTTATTTCTCTTAGATGTAGATTGATATCCATATAAGAGAGAAATATTAATATATATAGACGCATACACACATATACACACACACATATATATATATATATATATATATATATTAATTGCGATTAATTGCATCCAAAATAAAAGTCTTTGTTTATATAATATATTTGTGTGTGCTGTATATAATTATTTTGTATATATAAATACCTATGCATGCATGTATATATTTAAGAATTATTTGCGCTTAAATTCTGTATATATTTCTAAATACATAATCTATATTATATAAATATTTGATATATTAATAACACTTTTTCTTAAATATATACATGCATGTGTGTGTATTTATATATACAAAATAATTATATACAGCACACACAAATATATTATGTAAACACAGACTTTTATTTTGGATGCGATTAATCGCAATTAATTTTTGCACAGCCCTAATATATATAAATATCGATACCGAAATATCTGAACGGTACACTTTCACTTCTCTCCAAAGGCGCGTTGACAAACACCACACGTGACGCACTCGTCTCATTCGCTCTGGTTAAATAGCAAAAGTGAGGTTAATGTTGGAGAATAGCGCAGACACGCATTTAAAACACCGCGTTTACATCGAAGTATCATGACAACACTAATATATATATATATAAATATGCATTAATGTTTACTAGTTATTTCAGACTTGCATAACAGAATCAAAAGAATTAAGAAAGCAAAGTTTAATAATAATAAAACATTTTATTTTAAAAAATTTCACAAATATCACAGTACATAAAACGGAAGGTCCAGTTTTGTGAATTATTTCCATCTTTCACAGTAAAATTAAAAGTGTCTCGAGGCTAAAGACGGCAAGCAAACCCCGTCACCGTAATAGAGCCGCTTCCACACGAGTAAAGGGAATCTACACACCGTCTGATGTTCATCATGTGCTTCATGATGATGATGATGATGATGTGTGTGTGAGAGAGACGAGGTCATCAGCAGGAACTCCTCAGCGTCTCCTTCAGTTCATCATGAGTGTCACGAATAACTGGAGTCCTGAAACCAGACGCAAACAAGCCCTCAAACACTGACGACCAATCAGATCAAGAGCAAACACTGACGACCAATCAGATCCAGAGCAAACACTGACGACCAATCAGATCAAGAGCAAACACTGACGACCAATCAGATCCAGAGCAAACACTGACGACCAATCAGATCAAGAGCAAACACTGACGTCTACAGTCCTCTCACTCGGCTGTTATCACATTATAGAGGAATCAGCTTTTACTTATTTCGGTTTTATTTTTATTTTTTATTAGCTCAAAATTTCAGTTTGTCATGTTTAATCTATCATCATTTTATTTAATTTCATCTTATTGATTAAAAAAAAAATTTAAGTAACAGCTTTAGTTTTGGTGAAGGATAACAAACCCGGCAGATTCATCACACCGTATTTAGCACTGAATCACTTCAACCAATGATTCATTTCAGCACATGATTCTGACTCGAAACATTTCAGTGATTCAGTGATTCAGTACCTCGCTGGCTCCTCGTACGCGGCGAGGTGAAACGACACGCTTGCGCTCATGGATGTCCTGCAGTCGCGTGATCAGAAACTTCTTATCCCCGCCCTCCTGAATCAACACAAACAGGAAGTGATGTCATACCATGCAGCTGCATACAGATGATTCAATCGTTACATAATTGTTTGATTCTTTTGTCTCACATTCTCGATCTGTTCCTGAAGGAGTTCGATGATCTTCCGCTGACCGTCGACCACCTGACTGTGGAAGTAAATCACTATCCTACAAACACACAAAACAAGGAAAATCACCACAGATCGCTTTAAAGGTGTGGTTGATTACGATGGTGAACTCCACATCAGCTGCATAAACTCATCAACTAACCCTTCAGAAATATCCTGTTGCTTCTACATCTCGGCACTTCCAGAGTCACTCATCTTTGACTCCGCTTTCAACATTAAAGGATAAACGCTTTTGCTCACCCTCAAAAACTGAACATTTTAAAGTAGTTCACTTTTGAAAAAACTTTTGCTGATAATTTACTCACCCCCGTGTCATTCAAGATGTCCATGTCTTTCTTTCCTCAGTCGAAAAGACATGAAGGTTTTTGATGAAAACATTCCAGGATTTTTCTCCATATAATGGACTTCAATGGGGTCCAAACGAGAGTTTCAGATGCAGCTTCAAATGTCTTTAAACGACACCAGACGATGAATAAGGGTCTTATCATGCGAAACGATCGGTTATTTAAAAACTTAGTCCAAAAATGTAACTTTTCTAAGGACAAATGCTAGTCTTGCTCTATTCTGTGAGGCGCGTTTGTAACGTCACGTAATTACGTTCAAAAGGTCACGGGCGACGTAGCCGGAAGTACAGAATCAAAATCGTCCGACATCGTTGTTTTTCCTTTTAATTCCTTTTTTTTTTTTGTAAACGGCGTTTGAGTTAGTTTGCACGTTCAACCTATGCGTTCAACTTGTAAACACTGACTCTGTACTTCCGGCTACGTCGCCCGTGACCTTTTGAACGTAATTACGTATTACGTGACGTTACAAACGCGCCTCACAGAATAGAGCAAGGCTAGCATTTGTCCTTAGAAAAGTTACATTTTTGGAATAAGCTTTGAAATAACCGATCGTTTCGCTTGATAAGACCCTTATTCATCGACTGGTGTCGTTTAAAGACATTTGAAGCTGCACTGAAACTCTCGTTTGGACCTTGAACCGTTTGGTCCCCATTGAAGTCCATTATATGGAGAAAAATCCTGGAATGTTTTCATCAAAAACCTTCATTTCTTTTCGACTGAATAAAGAAAGACATGGACATCTTGGATGACATGGGGGTGAGTAAATTATCAGCAAAAGTTTTTTCAAAAGTGAACTACTCCTTTAACATTTTGAGTAAATCATGGGCTAATTTTAATTTTTTGGGGAACTATCCCTTTAAATGGAGAGTTCTGCTGGAGTTCACTCTTACTGGACGACTCGTTTGCATCGTTCTTCTTTCCATACGAGGCGGCAAAGCTGATGGTCTAATGAACCTGAGCCGAGAACAGAGATTAAACGCAGACTCACAGGAAGATGGCGGCGCACAGGAACAGGAAGAGAGGGTTTTCCACCAGGTACGTGTGAGCCGAGGCCAGCCAGGACAGATTGGGGTTCTCCGCCGCCAGCTCCTGGACCCACCGCTTCCCGGCCTGGAACATGGTATCCAGCCCACGGAACGGGCCGCAACCGGCCGACGGCTTCACCCTGGGTCAGACCACAGACATACACAGCCAATAAGAGGCGATATGCTGCGTTACCATAGAAACCATACTCTAAATAATTGTATAAGGCTTGCCATCATCATATTTCATAGTAAAACCTTTTCAAAACACATTGTCAGAAAGGTCAAAGTCTCGAGGTTCCAAATGTTTTGGCAGAATTGATATTTGGACAGAAATGTATTAATTTGTGAAGGCAGAATGCACCTCGCCCGGTGGCTGTGTTTGGTATTACGGCTGATTAAAGTCTCATGAGAACTTCCATTTTTGTGATATCAACTTCAAATTTGGAACACTAGGTTAGATATATGGCTTTGGAATTATAGTAATTATATATATTTTATATAATAGACAGTATATTTGATTTACTGTAAATGTAAACTTCCATAACCTTTTCATACTTTCACAATTTTGAAGTGCTTTACAAGGGGAGCTTTTCTAATCTTGGTAAATGTAAGAGGACGCATACATGTAGATTACTCTGCAGTTACATTTGCATAAATAACGATTAATGTAGGTTAACGAACACTGAAATATTGGGAAAAATTTAATTATACTTTACATATGGAGTGATTCGGCTGTTTGAGCAAATGAATGAATTAATGACTCACTCATGAAGGCATTCATCCCCACCTATTTCTTAACTAGAGGATCATGTCATTAATGTATTTAATATTTCCATATTAATAAAAAAACTATTAAAGGTACAGTTTGTAGTGTTGTGATTCTCTTTTGTAAAATCTCCATAGTGGAAAATGCATGGAAAAATAGTTCTGGAGATGAAAGGCGTGTGTGTGTGTGTGCGCTCTATACGGAGAGGAACTGTTTCTCATGGGGTCGAAGGTCAGTGTAACATTTTCAGGAGCATCTGGATCCAGAATGTCAGTGTTCTTCTGCCAACATCCACATAAAAATTCCCAGCATACACACACACACACTGTCACACACACACACACACACACTCTCTCACTCATACACACTCACGTCCACATGGTGTAGGTCACACACACGGAGGCGCCCAGGAACGACGGGAAGCACAGGAGTGTGATGAAGATGGTGGTCATCTGAGAGGCTCGCCACGGCTTCCCCGACGCCTGACAGTTCATCATCAGACTGACCTGCGACACACACACACACACACCACAATCGGCTCACAAATTATTTCTCCAAATCATTCTAGTGAATCGGTTTGCAAATAATTCTTCTGAATAATTCGAGTGATTCGGTTCACAAATGATTCTTATGAGTCATTGTTAAAAAAAATCCTGCAGGTTATTTGTCTAAACAAACACAATAAATGATGTCGATGATTGTGAGCAGACAAACCAACCTTCTTCATGTAGAAGAGAAACAGCA